TCTCTTTTTTTGTTTTGACTGCTTCCATTCTTGAGAGGATAATAAATACATGGATCCTGAGATTGAAGCTCAAGCCGGAGACCAGTGAGATCTTTCTAACATACATGAACACATGCACTGGTACCAGTAAAGGGGGAAGTATCCGAACATGAGAAAACAGAAAGAGGGTTGGGGAAAGAGCCATCACTAGCAAACGAGCAAATAACCTTAAAAGCTAAAAACACTTCGGACAATGAGTATATATGTATCTACAGTGTATTATATTTTTGGATATACATTTTTGTACGTTTTTGTAGAGCGTGTCGGTGAGCCAAATAGTGATTTCCAGACGCTGGGTGTGTGAAATAGACTCTGCGGGGGGGCTGAACAAAGCCTTTATTGTTTTATGTTTCATGTGGAACCTATTTGCTGCAGGTCTCCCTTGAAAAAGAGATATATGATCTCAATGGGACCAATCTGGTTAAATAAAGGTTTGAAATGAAAAGAAATGAAATCTGAGGAAACGTCAAACTGTGATGACTTGAGAGACAGGTTTCATCGCAGCGATATCAAACATCCTCTTTATCGCAGGCTGGCAGACGTCTGCAGGGACGAAAACATGACAGAAGAAGCCGTGAAATCACAAAGAAAAAAACTAGAGTAAACACAGGAGGTGGGGGGGGGGGGGGGGGGGGGGGACACAGAGAGAAACCAATGGGAATTCCTTCAAACACATGAAGTCTAAAATCATCTTTATCTGTCCTGAGACATGGAAGAAGGAGAGGCGAGAGATAAGGCTGGAGGATGAGGAGAGGAAAGACGTCTGCCAACTACACATCTAGAGTTTAGAGTAATTATTTATTTGTAATACAACTGATATTTGAATGGACCCAAGCCAGGGGAAGATCAAACCACTGCACCTTTATAATGGCTGACACTTTAAGATGCCATTCCCCTCTTGTTGTGTGTATGAATTGGATGTTGTGAATGGTGATCATTATTTGATCCTATTTGCCAAAGCCACATTTCCATGATATGTTATTTTGGATAATTAAGTATCTGATCGTGTCTAGGGAGTCAGGAGTTCGTATTTCCCACATGTGGCACACAACAGGAGATTTAAGTGTCTGAAGTGTTATCACTTACTTTAAATACTCCCATGTACTCCCTTTGAGCACGCATGCTAACTCAGAGGATTGGACAGTTGCGTCCTCGAATGCAGAATACAAAAAGCTACTTTACAAAAATATCCATGACAACTGTCTCTGTTGTTGGAAACGTACCTGAAATGTTTGATGGTCTTTAACAATGTGGTCACATGACTCCTTCTGATGTTACTGCAGATCTGCTGTAAGCTAGCTAGCTAACGTAGCTAACCTAGTCCTTTCAGATATCCTGACAAACACTGACAGTTATGAGACGACTGACTCTGAGACAGAGACAGTTGGTCAGCTTCATCATCCTGAACGTCTCCAAGTGTCCCAGCTGTGTGCGTCACTTTTTAGTGTCCCCTGGTCTCCCAGCTGTGTGCGTCACTCTTTAGTGTCCCCTGGTCTCCCAGCTGTGTGCGTCTCTCTTTAGTGTCCCCTGGTCTCCCAGCTGTGTGCGTCACTCTTTAGTGTCCCCTGGTCTCCCAGCTGTGTGCGTCTCTCTTTAGTGTCCCCTGGTCTCCCAGCTGTGTGCGTCACTCTTTAGTGTCCCCTGGTCTCTCAGCTGTGTGCGTCACTCTTTAGTGTCCCCTGGTCTCTCAGCTGTGTGCGTCACTCTTTAGTGTCCCCTAGTCTCCCAGCTGTGTGCGTCACTCTTTAGTGTCCCCTGGTCTCTCAGCTGTGTGCGTCACTTTTTAGTGTCCCCTGGGTTGCATTCGAATAGTCCATTTAGCTTAGGAACCTTCCTAACGGAGTGAAATGACCCGGAAGTCCCTCAGTGGCAGCCATGATAAGTGCCGTTCGAATTCTCTAAATTAAAAGGAAAGGAGGTTTCAAACTTCCTTTATAACCTCCTTTAGCTTAGGAACCACTGGACCTCCCTAACCGAAAGGAGAGGAGAAAATGCTGCCCCACAATGCCTTGCGGCCGCAGCATTTGCCGTCACACAACAGTCGGCCGTTCACGGAAACAACCGATTATGAACGAGAAATGATATCATGAAAGTTACGGTGCTTATTAAGCATTTTAAAACGTATGTGGTAAGTTGCCAAAGTGCTTTGTTTTGAACGTTCATCAGTATTATAATCAAAAAGAGAAATATGAACGTTAGTTTTTACTGAAATGATCAAATAAAGTCAACATTTCACAGTCTTTACTGAGCTGTGTGGGGTTTGTTCAACTTTTAAAAGATGTTTGAATGGTGATATACACAGTGATAGATGTTAAGGACTAACGTTTATAATAAATACATTTGTATTGATTTTAAGATCTTTTCATACAATCATATGTATTGGGATCATTTGTATTAATGTGGACCGGAGGGAGAGGGTGACGAGCATAAGTTTCACTTTCCTTTTTTATTTCAATTCCAACTTTGGTCATGAAGAATATGTTTCTCTGTTGTCCCCGTTCATAAAGCATAACAGCATCAGAGCACGGTGCAGAGTCTCTAGATGAGTTTACAGTAGTCCCTCGTTCTTATTAAACATCCATGTTGTAGTCCGCTGTATAGAAAAACTGTAGTTTCCATAGTTTCCCCACAGCAGCAGGCGCACATTTATGACCTCCGCTGGCGCATCATAACACGTCGGATAGTGGAAGTGCAGTCGGATTCTCTAAAGTGCCGCAGTCTCTTCTCCTAAATCCTTTTGAATTCTCCTATCCACTATCCCTTAACCCCGTGACGTTTCACTCCGAGGTCAAGGAATAGACGATAGGGTTAGAACTTAGGAGCTGTTTTTTTGGAGTATTCGAACGCAACCCTGGTCTCCTAGCTGTGTGCGTCACTCTTTAGTGTCCCCTGGTCTCCCAGCTATGTGCGTCACTCTTTAGTGTCCCCTGGTCTCCCAGCTGTGTGCGTCACTCTTTAGTGTCCCCTGGTCTCCCAGCTGTGTGCGTCACTCTTTAGTGTCCCCTGGTCTCCCAGCTGTGTGCGTCACTCTTTAGTGTCCCCTGGTCTCCCAGCTGTGTGCGTCACTCTTAGTGTCCCCTGGTCTCCCAGCTGTGTGCGTCACTCTTTAGTGTCCCCTGGTCTCCCAGCTGTGTGCGTCACTCTTTAGTGTCCCCTGGTCTCCAGCTGTGTGCGTCACTCTTCAGTGTCCCCTGGTCTCCCAGCTGTGTGCGTCACTCTTTAGTGTCCCCTGGTCTCCCAGCTGTGTGCGTCACTCTTTAGTGTCCCCTGGTCTCTAGCTGTGTGCGTCACTCTTTAGTGTCCCCTGGTCTCCCAGCTGTGTGCGTCACTCTTTAGTGTCCCCTGGTCTCCCAGCTGTGTGCGTCACTCTTTAGTGTCCCCTGGTCTCTCCAGCTGTGTGCGTCACTCTTTAGTGTCCCCTGTCTCCCAGCTGTGTGCGTCACTCTTTAGTGTCCCCTAGGTCTCCCAGCTGTGTGCGTCACTCTTTAGTGTCCCCTGGTCTCCCAGCTGTGTGCGTCACTCTTTAGTGTCCCCTGGTCTCCCAGCTGTGTGCGTCACTCTTTAGTGTCCCCTGGGTCTCCAGCTGTGTGCGTCACTCTTTAGTTGTCCCCTGGTCTCCCCGCTGTGTGCGTCCCTCCTTAGTGTCCCCTGGTCTCCCCAGCTGTGTGCGTCACGCTTTAGTGTCCCCTGGTCTCCCAGCTGTGTGCGTCACTCTTTAGTGTCCCCTGGTCTCCCAGCTGTGTGCGTCACTCTTAGTGTCCCCTGGTCTCCCAGCTGTGTGCGTCACTCTTTCAGTGTCCCCATGGTCTCCCAGCTGTGTGCGTCACTCTTATAGTGTCCCCTGGTCTCCCAGCTGTGTGCGTCACTCTTTAGTGTCCCCTGGTCTCCCAGCTGTGTGCGTCACTCTTTAGTGTCCCCTGGTCTCCCAGCTGTGTGCGTCACTCTTTAGTGTCCCCCTGGTCCTCCGCAGCTGTGTGCGTCACTCTTTAGTGTCCCCTAGTCTCCCAGCTGTGTGCGTCACTCTTTAGTGTCCCCTGGTCTCCCAGCTGTGTGCGTCACTCTTTAGTGTCCCCTGGTCTCCCAGCTGTGTGCGTCACTCTTTAGTGTCCCCTGGTCTCCCAGCTGTGTGCGTCACTCTTTAGTGTCCCCTGGTCTCCCAGCTGTGTGCGTCACTCTTTAGTGTCCCCTGGTCTCCAGCTGTGTGCGTCACTCTTTAGTGTCCCCTGGTTCCAGCTGTGTGCGTCACTCTTAGTGTCCCTGGCTCCCAGCTGTGTGCGTCACTCTTTAGTGTCCCCTGGTCTCTCAGCTGTGTGCGTCACTCTTTAGTGTCCCCTGGTCTCCCAGCTGTGTGCGTCACTCTTTAGTGTCCCCTAGTCTCTCAGCTGTGTGCGTCTCTCTTTAGTGTCCCCTGGTCTCCAGCTGTGTGCGTCTCTCTTTAGTGTCCCCTGCTCTCCCAGCAGCAGCTCATAGTTTATACATGCACAGATGATGAATTGGAAATGTTGTAAGTATGAAAGTGTGAATTTGACTCGACATCGAACAGTTTGAAGTAATCCCCGTCAGCGTTTGAAGAAGCTTCAGATTCACGATCCGACAGACGCCTCGAAGTCTCCTTTTGATGTGAGATTATGTACAGGCTAACTTTAGCTCACTTCTGATGCCTCTTCTTCTGGGGAGGCTTTGTTCTGTTCTCCCCCACAGGGGCGCTGGGTTTCTGTTTCCTCTCTGATTCGTGCTGTGTTTTAAATATTGTGAAGCAATGTTCAAAGTGGTGATGGCTTTCATCCTGGCCTATTTACTTTATTCTTAAATGGAGAAACTGTCACAAAACCCAATTTCCCCTGAGATGAATAAAACATTCTGACAGATCTTATCTTTTTCCTCCCCCCTTCACACCTTTACCTGTCCTGTTTGGTTGACCTTTGACCCCCCCCCCCCCCCCCCCTCTCCTCTATCTGCAGGTAATGACTTGTTCCTGGTGGCGGTGCACGAGTTGGGTCATGCGTTGGGTTTGGAGCACTCCAACGACCCCAGTGCCATCATGGCTCCGTTCTACCAGTACATGGACACGCACAACTTCAAACTGCCTCTGGACGACCTGCAGGGCATCCAGAAGATCTACGGTGAGTAATCAGATTACTCATCCATCAGTTATTCCACAGCTGTTTAAACATGGTTGTTGTAACACGTTGGCCACAAGAGGCAACATTTTAATCGAGCAATATTTGAAATGTACGTTTTTTTTATTCCTGTTACGTTTAATTTCTGGAATCTGTTCGGCTTTTGTTTCCTGTAACAAATGTACATTTCCCCTCTGTGGGACGAATAGAGGATTCTGGTTCTGGTTCTGGTTCTGGTTTGTTCTCTAACAGTTGTTGGGATGGAGTTTCATTCTGGTGCAGCTTTAAAGGGGACCTATTATGCAAAATCCACTTCTTCATGTCTCTTCTTCATCAACATGTGTCCCCTCTTCTTCATGTCTCTTCTTCATCAACATGTGTCCCCTCTTCTTCATGTCTCTTCTACATCAACATTTGTCCCCTCTTCTTCATGTCCTCTTCTTCATCAACATGTTCACCTCTTCCTTCATGTCTCTTCTTCCTCAACATGTGTCCCCTCTTCTTCATGTCTCTTCTTCATCCCCTCTTCTTCATGTCTCTTCTACATCAACATGTGTCCCCTCTTCTTCAATGTCTCTTCTTCATCAACATGTGTCCCCTCTTCTTCATGTCTCTTCTTCATCAGCATGTGTCCCCGTCGTCTTCATGTCTCTTCTTCATCAACATGTGTCCCCTCTTCTTCATGTCTCTTCCACATCAACATGTGTCCCCTCTTCTTCATGTCTCTTCTTCATCAACATGTGTCCCCTCTTCTTCATGTCTCTTCTACATCAACATGTGTCCCCTCTTCTTCATGTCTCTTCTTCAGCAACATGTGTCCCCTCTTCTTCATGTCTCTTCCACATCAACATGTGTCCCCTCTTCTTCATGTCTCTTCTTCATCAACATGGTGTCCCCTCTTCTTCATGTCTCTTCTTCATCAACATGTGTCCCCTCTTCTTCATGTCTCTCAACATGTGTCCCCCTCTTCTTCATGTCTCTTCTACATCAACATGTGTCCCCTCTTCTTCATGTCTCTTCTACATCAACATGTGTCCCCTCTTCTTCATGTCTCTTCTACATCAACATGTGTCCCCTCTTCTTCATGTCTCTTCTACATCAACATGTGTCCCCTCTTCCTCATGTCTCTTCTACATCAACATGTGTCCCCTCTTCTTCATCAACATGTGTCCCCTCTTCTTCATGTCTCTTCTTCATCAACATGTGTCCCTTCTTCTTCATGTCTCTTCTTCATCAACATGTGTCCCCTCTTCTTCATGTCTCTTCTTCATCAGCATGTGTCCCCTCTTCTTCATGTCTCTTCTTCATCAACATGTGTCCCCTCTTCTTCATGTCTCTTCCACATCAACATGTGTCCCCTCTTCTTCATGTCTCTTCTTCATCAACATGTGTCCCCTCTTCTTCATGTCTCTTCTACATCAACATGTGTCCCCTCTTCTTCATGTCTCTTCTTCATCAACATGTGTCCCCTCTTCTTCATGTCTCTTCTACAGCAACATGTGTCCCCTCTTCTTCATGTCTTCTATGTCTCTTCTTCATCAACATGTGTCCCCTCTTCTTCATGTCTCTTCCACATCAACATGTGTCCCCTCTTCTTCATGTCTCTTCTTCATCAACATGTGTCCCCTCTTCTTCATGTCTCTTCTCTTCTACATCAACATGTGTCCCCTCTTCTTCATGTCTCTTCTTACATCAACATGTGTCCCCTCTTCTTCATGTCTCTTCTTACATCAACATGTGTCCCCCTCTTCTTCAATGTCTCTTCTTCATCATCAACATGTGTCCCCCTCTTCTTCATGTCTCTTCTTCACATCAAACATGTGTCCCCTCTTCTTCATGTCTCTTCTTCATCAACATGTGTCCCCCTCTTCTTCATGTCTCTTCTTCATCAACATGTGTCCCCTCTTCTTCATGTCTCTTCTACATCAACATGTGTCCCCTCTTCTTCATGTCTCTTCTTCATCAACATGTGTCCCCTCTTCTTCATGTCTCTTCTTCATCAACATGTGTCCCCTCTTCTTCATGTCTCTTCTACATCAACATGTGTCCCCCTCTTCCTCATGTCTCTTCTACATCAACATGTGTCCCCTCTTCTTCATCAACATGTGTCCCCCTCTTCTTCATGTCTCTTCTTCATCAAACATGTGTCCCCTCTTCTTCATGTCTCTTCTTCATCAACATGTGTCCCCTCTTCTTCATGTCTCTTCTTCATCAACATGTGTCCCCTCTTCTTCATGTCTCTTCTTCATCAACATGTGTCCCCTCTTCTTCATGTCTCTTCTACATCAACATGTGTCCCCTCTTCTTCATGTCTCTTCTTCATCAACATGTGTCCCCTCTTCTTCATGTCTCTTCTTCATCAACATGTGTCCCCTCTTCTTCATGTCTCTTCTACATCAACATGTGTCCCCTCTTCTTCATGTCTCTTCTACATCAACATGTGTCCCCTCTTCTTCATGTCTCTTCTACATCAACATGTGTCCCCTCTTCTTCATGTCTCTTCTTCATCAACATGTGTCCCCTCTTCTTCATGTCTCTTCTTCATCAACATGTGTCCCCTCTTCTTCATGTCTCTTCTTCATCAGCATGTGTCCCCTCTTCTTCATGTCTCTTCTTCATCAACATGTGTCCCCTCTTCTTCATGTCTCTTCCACATCAACATGTGTCCCCTCTTCTTCATGTCTCTTCTACATCAACATGTGTCCCCTCTTCTTCATGTCTCTTCTACATCAACATGTGTCCCCTCTTCTTCATGTCTCTTCTACATCAACATGTGTCCCCTCTTCTTCATGTCTCTTCTACATCAACATGTGTCCCCTCTTCTTCATGTCTCTTCCACATCAACATGTGTCCCCTCTTCTTCATGTCTCTTCTACATCAACATGTGTCCCCTCTTCTTCATGTCTCTTCTACATCAACATGTGTCCCCTCTTCTTCATGTCTCTTCTACATCAACATGTGTCCCCTCTTCTTCATGTCTCTTCTACATCAACATGTGTCCCCTCTTCTTCATGTCTCTTCTTCATCAACATGTGTCCCCTCTTCTTCATGTCTCTTCTACATCAACATGTGTCCCTTCTGTGGCAGTGTTAATTTTGGCAGCTGTTTTTGATTTAGTCTTAGTCTTAGTCTTTAGACGAAAATGGTTATTAGTTTTAGTCACATTTTAGTCATTTCTATCCTTCATAGTTTTAGTCTAGTTTTAGTCGACGAAAACTCAAAACGTTTTAGTCGATGAAAAATTACATTTTAGTCAACTTTTAGTCAAAATGTTTTCTCTCTTTAAACCAATTCAGTTATACAAATACAGGATTCTGAAATTGTAATCAAGGTGACAGCATCAAGTGTTGAAATTCATAAAGCAACATTTCACTCTCTTAACACTTTACTTGTGTAATATCTAGGGATGGGTATCGTTAAGGTTTTCTACGGTACTACTAGTCTTATCAATACTGCTTATCGATCCGGTACTTTCACGGTATTCTTGTATTTACTTTTTGTTATTTTTTAAAGGGAAAAACTAACAAATTGTTAACCGAATTAATTGCTTTATTTAAATGTGAAATAAATGAAATATGTATAATCATGTTAAAATATTGTACTGTACTTGAGTAAAATGTTGAGGGTACTTGTACTTTACTGGAGTATTTAAATGTTTTGCTACTGTGTACTTGTACTCCACTACATGTATTTGAATACCTTTAGTTACTTTACAGATGTGGATGAATGATGTGAAATATAACCAAGTGTTAAATCAGACTTTAGTTCCACCTGGAGTAAATCCACAAGCTACCCTGCAGTATACAAAGTCATTCAAACTAGCTGCACCTTTACCAGCTTTGAGAACACTTTCATGATCAATCATTATAAAACATATCATATATATTATTCTGAAATGGACCAATCTGCACAATGACTACTTTCACTGTCGCTACTTTCACTATATTTTGATGATCATACTTTGACTTGAGGAACTCTTCCTACACTATGGTATTTTTTTACTTAGCTACAAGATCTGAGTACTTCTCCCACCTCTGTACACCTGATGTGATAACGTTACTCGTAATTGGGGCAACAGAGCTACGAGTTAAGGAAGTCGAAAATTGTGCATTTCTCCGACTGAATATGACGCCTTTTGGCCGGCTGTTTGGACAGACTCCTCTACTCGTGTCAACGCGCTAACGCGAAAACATGGCAAACGAGCTTTGTCCACATCGAGTCTTGTAGAGTGTCTCTATACTCTCTGAACGCTCCGTCCCCGGCAGATCTCTGCCGCTGCAGCGTGTCTGTTAGGCCCCGCCCCCGCACACAGAGAGAGAGTGAGGCCCCGCCCCCCGCACACAGAGAGAGAGTGAGGCCCCGCCCCCCCCACACAGAGAGGAGATCGCTCTTCTGGAGTGAAGAGAGCGGAAATAATGATATTGCAAGTTAGAAATGTAAGATGCATTTTGACAGACAAGACGGACACTTGGGGAAAGACCCTGCATTTTGAATGTCCGATAGTCCACCATTAACACATTAGTCCCGTCTCGTCTCGTCAACGAAAACTAAATATACATTTCGTCAAATTTTCGTTATCAAGAATCTATTTTTAGCTCGTCATCGTCTCGTTTTAGTCATGTAAAAAAGGTCGTTGACGAACATTTTTCGTCATAGTTTTCGTTGACGAAATTAACACTGCTCTGTGGAAAGAGACTCTGAAAGTTTCAGGAACAAAGATTCTCCCTGTTTTTGATCCATTTCTATAAAAACCTGTCTGAAAATGAGCTGATCAGATTTTGGCCACTTGATGATGTCATAACGATGTTTTGTCTTGTGTAACCATTAGCCAATCAGCAACCAAGGTAACCCCCCCCCCCACCTTATCACCTGAATCTCCTCCTAGAGCACCATTGAGTTCTTTGTAACCAAATCTCTCTCAGAGGGGCGTGGGGAGGGGCTCCTTATTTTCATCTAAAGTAACAGACAGAGAATCAGCACTTTGGAAACAGGGCTGAAACAGAGGGGATTATGGGTAATGCTGCAATGATCTGTTTGGTGTTTCAGCCAATCAGAGACAGGCTCTGGATATATCTGAGAGCTGTGATATATTGATGAAGAACAGTATAATAGGGGACCTTTAAAATAAAATTGTTCCTGATGTTCCTGATGTTCCTGATGTTCCTGATGTTCCTGATGTTCCCCACCAGGTATCCCCACAGCCATGCTGGAGCCCACCCGCCCGCTGCCCACTCTGCCTTCCCGACGGACGCACTCCACCTCCAAACACGACCGCTCCCGCCCGGCGCGTCCGCCCGGCGACCGGCCCGCGCTGCCCTGGCAACGGGAAACCCAACATCTGCGATGGAAACTTCAACACCGTGGCATTCTTCAGGAGGGAGATGTTCGTGTTCAAGGTGAGCCGAGACGCATGTTCCGTTCATGGCATGCAGAACTTAATGTATAACAATTAGGTAACACTTTATATTAAGGTACACAAATTAACCATCAACTAGTTGTTAATTAACAGGCATATTAGCAGTATATTGGCTCTTTATTAGTCAGTATTAAACCCTTATTATATGTATTCTATATGACCGTATTCTACAAGTACTAAGCCATTAGTCAAGAGTTTTTCCTCAATAACCCTCTAATTAGTGCTGATTTGTTGTAAGGAAGTTGTTGTCCATGAGTTTTGGCTCAATATGGGCCTAATGAGGCAGCAGCACCACAAGAATAGTAATTCTCCCATAATAACACTTAACAGATATGATCTATTCTTATGTAACAAGTAGGGCTGTCAGTCGATTAAAATATTTAATCGCGATTAATCGCACATTAATCGCACATTTTTTATCTGTTCTAAATGTACCTTAGAGGGATATTTTTCAAGTTTTTAATACTCTTATCAACATATGAGTGGACAAATATGCTTTATATGTTGTATAAACATATAAACGCGCGCGTGTGTAGACACTGTGATGGATCATTGGAGCTATGTGCAGCTCAAGGCATATATGCTCGAATGGGAGCTGCCTGGATGCTGCAATCATGTTGCGCGTACTATCCGTGCTGAGTGTGCTGACTTTTCGTACAATGTCCCGCTGTCTGGCTACCTGCATAAAGTCAAGTGCTCGGCGCAGTTGTCGGCGAAATGTCATTGAAACAGCTCCTTATATCCGTTAGCGCAGCTAGCTAGCACCAGATGCTAACAACAACAACACGTAAGGTGTGCCTCGCTCGCGCGAGTCGCGCCACACATACACACTCCCGATGGCCAGTCCGGGCCTGCCAGTGAGCGTGGAAGTGTGGTCTGCCACAAGCGGGCGGCAGGAGCGGGGCTGTCAGCATCAGCTTGTAGATGGTATTTTACACTCGATGCGCTCTGAAACTACGGCGGCCGAGGACAAAAAATACACATGCGTTAATCGCGTTAAAATAATTAGTGGCGTTAATTTTTTTTTGCATTAACGCGTTATTAACGCGTTAACTTGACAGCCCTAGTAACAAGACATGAAACTAAAAGTGTTAATTGTGTCTAAATAACTCAAAATGAGGTTTTTCTAACTCAGAATTCCCTATTTTAAAGTGAAGTCTTGTTCATAACAAATAAGTTAGTAGTTTGACTCTAATATGTTAATTAACAACTAGTTGATGGTGAATAAGTGTACCTTAATATAAAGTGTTACCAACAATTATTTACAAAACATGTCTCTTTAACCTGTTAAGCCCGAGAGACCCCGGTACCGGGGCACTGCCGCAACATGTTGCAGGAAACAGTGTCTCAGGGCATGTTCATTTAATAAACTATGAATGTTTTATATCCATGTAACGGGAAGAAACTCATCTAACTGATCACTTTTATTTATTTAAAAAAAAAAAAAACCCACAATGCTAACACTGAGCCTGTGAATTAGCAACGAGCGAAAAATGCTAACAGATTTACTGCACCAAAAATCACTCACAAAACCTTATTATTTATCTCTTCTCTACATCCATGACATCGATTCACATCGTGAGGTGACACAGAATCGATGGGTGCATACATTATCACTATATGATACGAACTTGCGACTTTATAAACAAAAACAGACATCAAAACATGTGGCGCTAGGTAGCTAAAAACGCTAACATGGCTTACCTGTGTCATAGTCTCTCCAAAGTGGTCTTCAATGGCATTAAAACGATAAAATCGGTGCTGAAGTTAATCCATAGGTTAATCCAATGTGTCTGTGTCCCTTTGAAATGATTTCTGATAATCCATAAGCATTAAAACTGCTTTTCCGTTTCCAGATGTCAAAGCTAGAGATAGGTTCGCTCTGATTGAAAACTGCATGCGCGAAGCCCCCACCTTTTTGTTCT